CAATGGGATTTGTACTTGCAAACAGATAGCTGGAGCGTTAAGTTCTTTCTGTAAATCGTATGACGGGGGTTTAAAGCTTAATAGGGCTAATGCTTGGTCTAGAGGTGAATATTTCCAGCTCAAATGAATGTTCCCACATAAAAAAGGTAAGATAAGGGATCCTGAAGACTAATTCACAGGAGTTGAGTGTGAGATTTACTAGAAGATCATAGAAGGCTCGTGATAGACTGAAGAGTTCATCGTAATTATGATTTACGTGTGAGCTAGAGCGAAATTATGAAGTTGGGGATAGAGTTTACTTATTAGACACGGCGGTGCTCAAGGGTAGTGACGTAAGCTCTGTCCTCCTTAGAAGGGTCTATGGAGTATTACCATAAAGTTATTTCTGTCGCTGATCCGGGTAAAAACTCGCAGAAATCGGGTCGTTTGTAGTTAATCATGATAGATTGAAACCATGTCGTCCGTGGAATAGGTCCTGATGATTAAAATATTGGGAGACAAAGTCCAAGAGATAAGTTGTATGTACCAAAGCAACGAACAAAGGTAAATCTCTTTGCGTCAAAGACTTGGACCAGAGGTAGATTTTATGAGTCAATGTGATTTCATATGCGGAGAATTGGTTACGCGAACGGTGCGTATTGTAAATGAACACTGAGTGGAAGCACTTGGCTTAAATTTACTTTACAATGCCCTATTTTTGAAGAATACTAGAGAAGAAGCTTCAGTTTGCAATTAAGATTTGGTAATAATTTTTGTCCGATCATGCAAGAGGAAACGGATGGAAAATGTTCAGGAGGTCCAGAATTCACAGCTAGGTTGAAAAGTTGAGTAGATCATTTGAGAGAATCTAAGCCAAGTGAATCTCTTTGTTCATAGACAGGAAGAGATCGAGATTTAAGCGCCGCTACTGACCCCAGTTGAAACAGCCAAGGGAAGAGAAATTAAGGGTTGCTTCGATAGGCTCTAGCTATACCAAGGAGTTGAGTCCCTGTAGTTACCATCTGACACCTTTGGGCATTATCGCACGATGAGGCACACTTGCACCAGAAAGCCTAGCCCGATATGCAAGGAGTGCCCCCCGAAAGTTCAAAGTGAGGATGTTGTTCTCAAGTCTGAGCCTTCATTGGAAGGACTGGAGAATATTCTGGGCCTGAAGGAACATCTGAACGGGACTTATTGCCGCTGAGGGTGTTGATGTGACGATAAGCTCGCTAGTGTCCTCAGATGAGAGGTGGCGGACAAGTTTAGTTGGACTCTAGTCCTATCCGTACTCTCGGAGAACCGGTTAGTCCAAGTGACGCCACGGATGAATGCGTGAGGAAGACTAGTGAGCACAGAAGGGGACCAACTCCCATAAGACCGCCCGGCATAAGACCTCTAAGCCTTGCCTGGGTGGTAGAACCTACGAAGATGTGATCAGGACTGTTACTGGTAAATACGGTCCAGGACCGGCGAAAGGGTCTCAGGGTAGAAAAAACTAAGCCCATTGATCATCAAGAAAGTGTGGTCAGAGCTGGTAAGAAGCCAAAACTGTCTATCACTATAACCTCTCCCTCTCCCATTGGGAAGAGGTGTCCGGTATATGGTTGTACGGAAGATATCAACCGCAAACAAACATTGGTTTGTCATCTTCCGGTGTGTTTAACCCTCATTTGTCTGGGGAAGGTGTCTCTCAGAAAAGGTTAAATGCCCTTAAGCTCATTACCAGGTGGCTTTTATGTGCACACCGGGACCTAAAGTGATTTGGTCAATTTAGTAGAATCACTTAGTCCACAAACCTGTGGAAGAAGAGACTGATGATTTATCCGCACAGGCTATGAGGGATTTCCTGTACATTATAAAAAAATCGGTGCCTGAGAAATTGACATTAAAAGCCTCGTGGTAATTTATGTTAAAATTTTGGTTCACTGGAAGTTCCTTCTCTTTATGGTTTCAATGTTAGAGAAAAAAGCAACAGGAGAACCTTGGACAGTTATTTGACATGTCCGAGGAAGATAAGTCCCGACTTCCACAACATCCAGATGCGTTTGATAGTCACTGTCATCTGGATAGAATTCTTTGTGAGTTAATGATTTCTGATGCTTCTTTAGAGGCATTAGAAAGATATGATTTTTCTGGAAACCCATGCGGTTGTTTTTAGTAGGAGTGGTTGGTGTATTTTTTTGACCCCGCTACGTAACCTACTCGGGAAAGGGTCCGGGCATGGGTGGATCAGGGGTTGTACCAGTAATAGGTAACCATCCGAGATTGTCTTCCAGTAAGTCCAATCTTAGGAAGCTGGAGGAGGTTTTGAAATATCCAGGGGTTGTCTTCCAGTGAGTCCAATCTAAGGAAGCTGGAGGAGGTTTTGAAATATTTAGGGGAAGCAGTTCTCGGGAAATTGGCTTGGATCGTACTGAGGATCCTGAGAATTGGGCTGACCAGATGCTGACGGTAGATAGAATTCTCAATTATCTCTTACCCGAACATGTTCTGGTACTTCATTGCCGTAGTGTTTCAAAAATGGCGGATGAAGCAATTCTATCTATGCTTCATCTGCTTACGGCACACCCCTCAGTTAACCGGGAGCAGCTGACTAATTTGCACTGCTTTTCGGGTCACCGGCGATCCTGCAGATGTGGATAGGTACTTTTCCTAACACTTATGTAGGTTTTACAGCCATATCCTGTGGGTCAGGTAAATACCAGGAGACCATAAGCCTGGTTGAACCGTCTCGGTTGTTATTGGAAAACGATGCCCTACAATTTTAATCCCCCGTTGTAAAGTATCCACACCATATATGATTTGGTGGGTTGCAGCCAAGATAGCAAAGGCACGAACTGAAACTTGGAGTGAACTCCTCCGAATGGCCTCCGCCAATGCTAGAAGGTAGAACATTGAGAGACATCCACAAGCGCTCTCGCTGTCTTCGGAGGGGAGCCCGCTTAAGTCTCTTCGGAGGCTTGCGTGATCGATTCATAACCGTTACTCTTTTGGCATTGTACTAATAGGTTCAGGTACAGGAAATAGGTCTGTTGCCTCAGAAATTGGGTGCAGGATCAGATTCCCACAGTCTGATCCGATGGCCAGACTTCAAAAAATAGGAAGGGGAGGAGTGTAGTGGTAGCTGCTCGTCAATCTCAATAGTGGTGGCTGACCTGAACCGGAATTGATGCGCGAGTGACATCGCAGTGTTCCTGCTTCTTCTAATCTGGTCTTCCTACAGAGCGGACGCATCATAAGATTTGAAGAATTATCCGATTGCATCCATTGCGTGTAACTTTGTAAGTTCCCATTTACCATTATAGTTTTACTATATAACTTAATACAACTATATATCTATATAACTTGCACAACCCATTATATCATAACGGCTTGACCGATTTATGTAAACGTTATCGTGTTTGATTTATACGTGTAAGATAAAATAGACATTGATAAATATATAAGGTCATGTTAGATATAATTTTAGTGGAAAACAATGGTAGATATATTTAATAGTAATATGACATTTACATCTGATAAATCAAATTTACGCATGAGACAGACAATTTTGAAGTTCCGTTTTGTAACTACAAATAATGTTTTGTTTGTTTGTTTGTTGTGGGTTTTACGTCACATCGACACGTCACATCGACACAGTATAGATCATTTCGCGACGTTCCAGCTTTTCTGGTGGAGGAAGACCTCAGGTGCCCTTCCGTGCATTATTTCAGGCACAAACGGGTACCTGAGTAGAACCACCGACGTTCCGTAAGCTAGCTGGAAAGCTTCCTCACATGAAAGAATCCAAAGTCCCTGTCGGGATTCGAACCCACAGCGGTGAGGGGCAAGTGGTTTGAAGTGAACGACCTTAACCCAGTCGGCACAAATAATGTAATGATTAAAAATTTAAAATCAGCTTACAACATTGTGAAATAGTTTAATATTGTGAATATTTACAATAAACGACAAATCAGTAAAAAATACATATATAGTTAAGTGACATAAGATAAGATTATTTGCAAAAGAAAGGATAATCACTTTTGAGCAAAAGCAAGATGCAGTGTAACTTCCGAATTCCGAATCTAAAATCCGGTCACTTCTGAAATCCGAACATTTTTCTTGATTCCGAATGATTGTCTGGTAAAATTTGGCTTATATCAATTTAAATTGATTTCCAAAATCCGGATATTGATAATGATGACATGGTAAACATGTTTAAGGAAGTCATAGAACACATCCCTTTGGGAATTCCGTGATAAATTAAGCCCTTGGGATGAAAAATTTGGTATAAATGTGGTCACGACAAGGAGGGGATTAGCTTCTGATTCAGATAAGCAAGTCAAATCAAGTCAGTCCAGTGTACTGTCTAACCAAGGATCCTCTAGTGCACAATCCTCATTCACCGGTCAACCGGATGGTTCCATAGTGCTATTCGGAAGGTTACTAGCTCGACCGGCGAAAAAACATAATAAGGGAGCCAATGTTAAATCTAGTTCAGGCACCCAAGAATTGGGCATTTGGGGATTCTCTGTGGCAGAATTAAGTCAGGCCAAGCGACAGGATGAGGAATTGCTGTTTATTCTGGATTTGCTGGGGGAAGAATGACTCCAGAGACGTCTGAGGTGTTTAGAGCTAGCCCAGCGGCTAAGTTTTATTGGTTGAATAAAGAGCAATTTCTTTTGTTGGATGATATCATGTATCAACATGATAGGGAAAGTGATGATATCCGGTTGGTTATGCCCAAAAGCCGAAGGGAGGAGGCTATGGCACTTTGTCATAGTTTGCCTTGATATGGTCACCAGGAGTCACAACGCACTAAGGAAAAGGTTTAGGAAAAATTTGCCTGGTATGGGGTAGGTCTTCGTGTTAAAAGATATGTTTTGCAGTGTTAGGTCTGTAATCAAAATAAAAAGGTCAATAGACAAGGTAAGTGTCCATTGATTGAATATCAGGCAGGATCACCATTGGAAAGAGTTTATATTGACTAAATAGGGCCGTTGCCTTAAACACCTAGAGGTAATGAGCATATTCTTATGATGGTAGATCAATTTACCAAGTGGGAGGAATGTATTCCTCTCCCTAGTCAATCAGCAGAGGTCACGGCGCGAGCTGCAGTGGACGGTTACTTTTCAAGGTTTGGAATGCCTTTTGAAATATTTTCTGATCAAAGTAGACATTTTGAATCGAAATGGTTCACTGAGGTTTGTAAAGTCTTGGAAATACATAAAGCTTGGACTACTCCGTATAGACCTTCTTCGAATGGAAGATATAATCGCATATTAATGGATGCGGTTAGGTGTTTTATAGGCAAAACGCAAAATCAATGGGATTTGTACTTGCAACAGATAGCTGGAGCGTTAAGTTCTTCTGTAAATCGTATGACGGGGTTTAAAGCTAATAGGCTAATGCTTGGTCTAGAGGTGAATATTCCAGCTCAAATGATGTTCCCACATAAAAAAGGTAAGATAAGGGATCCTGAAGACTATTCACAGGAGTTGAGTGTGAGTTTACTAGAAGATCATAAGAAGGCTCGTGATAGACTGAAGAGTTCCTCGTAATTATGATTTACGTGTGTTAGAGCGAAATTATGAGGTTGGGGATAGAGTTTACTTATTAGACACGGCGGTGCTCAAGGGTTAGTGACGTAAGCTCTGTCCTCCTTGGAAGTAATTACCAAGTTATCTTCTGTGCTGATCCGGGTAAAACTCAGAAATTCGGTCTTTGTAGTTAATCATGATAGATTGAAACCATGTCATGACCGTGAGGTACCATGATGGATAAAGATATGGGAACAAAGTCCAAGAGATATTGTATGTCCGAAAGGCAACGACAAGTTAAATTGTCTTTGTCAAAGCCTTGGCAGGGTAGATTTATGATTCAATGTGATCATTGCGGAGAATGGTTCCACGGGTCGTGTGTAAATGAAACTGCAGTGGATGCATTGAGCATTAATCTTTACAAATGCCCTGATTGTTTGAAAGGATCTAGGAGAAACTTAGTTCTAGATTTGTATATTTTCAGATCATGCCAAGGAACATGAATATTTCAAGGGTCCAGAACTTCACAGCTAGGTGAAAGTTGGTGAATCCATTTGAGCTAGCCAAGGTGATCTCCTTGTCTAACAGGGAGGATCGGTTTAGCGCCTTACTGGACCAAGTTGAACTGGCCAAGGGGAGAAATTCAAGTGGTTGGCTTCATAGTCTAGCCAAGGAGTTGAATGTCCTGTAGTTCCACTGACCCGAGTGGATTAGTCAGCACGTGAGCTACATTGCCCGAAAACCTAAGCCCGTGTGGAAGGATGCCCCCAAGTTCAAAGTAGGGATGTTTTTCTCAAGTCTGATCCTTCATTGGAGAGGACTGGAGAATATCTGGAGCCTGAGGAAACATCTGAACGGTCTTTATTGGCCGCTGAAGGTGTTGAGTGTGAGATAAGCTCCTTGTCCTCAGGGGGTGCGGACAAGTTATTGGACTCTAGTCCTATCCGTACTCCGGAGAAACCGGTTAGTCCAGTGACGCCACGGATGCGTGAGGAAACTAGTGAGCACAGAAGGCAAACTCCCATAAGCCGCCCGGCTAAGACCTCTAAGCCTTGCCTGGGTGGTAGAACCTACGAAGATGTGATCAGGACTGTTACTGGTAAATACGGTCCAGGACCGGCGAAAGGGTCTCAGGGTAGAAAAACTAAGCCCATTGATCATCAAGAAAGTGTGGTCAGAGCTGGTAAGAAGCCAAAACTGTCTATCACTATAACCTCTCCCTCTCCCATTGGGAAGAGGTGTCCGGTATCTGGTTGTACGGAAGATATCAACCGCAAACAAACATTGGTTTGTCATCTTCCGGTGTGTTTAACCCTCATTTGTCTGGGGAAGGTGTCTCTCAGAAAAGGTTAAATGCCCTTAAGCTCATTACCAGGTGGCTTTTATGTGCACACCGGGACCTAAAGTGATTTGGTCAATTTAGTAGAATCACTTAGTCCACAACCTGTGGAAGAAGAGACTGATGATTTATCCGCACAGGCTATGAGGGATTTCCTGTACATTATAAAAAAATCGGTGCCTGAGAAATTGACATTAAAGCCTCGTGGTAATTATGTTAAAATTTTGGTTCACTGGAAGTTCCTTCTCTTTATGGTTTCAATGTTAGAGAAAAAGCAACAGGAGAACCTTGGACAGTTATTTGACATGTCCGAGGAAGATAAGTCCCGACTTCCACAACATCCAGATGCGTTTGATAGTCACTGTCATCTGGATAGAATTCTTTGTGAGTTAATGATTTCTGATGCTTCTTTAGAGGCATTAGAAAGATATGATTTTCTGGAAACCCATGCGGTTGTTTTAGTAGGAGTGGTTGGTGTATTTTTTGACCCCGCTACGTAACCTACTCGGGAAAGGGTCCGGGCATGGGTGGATCAGGGGGTTGTACCAGTAATAGGTTACCATCCGAGATTGTCTTCCAGTAAGTCCAATCTTAGGAAGCTGGAGGAGGTTTTGAAATATCCAGGGGTTGTCTTCCAGTGAGTCCAATCTAAGGAAGCTGGAGGAGGTTTTGAAATATTTAGGGGAAGCAGTTCTCGGGAAATTGGCTTGGATCGTACTGAGGATCCTGAGAATTGGGCTGACCAGATGCTGACGGTAGATAGAATTCTCAATTATCTCTTACCCGAACATGTTCTGGTACTTCATTGCCGTAGTGTTTCAAAAATGGCGGATGAAGCAATTCTATCTATGCTTCATCTGCTTACGGCACACCCCTCAGTTAACCGGGAGCAGCTGACTAATTTGCACTGCTTTTCGGGGTCACCGGCGATCCTGCAGATGTGGATAGGTACTTTTCCTAACACTTATGTAGGTTTTACAGCCATATCCTGTGGGTCAGGTAAATACCAGGAGACCATAAGCCTGGTTGAACCGTCTCGGTTGTTATTGGAAAACGATGCCCTACAATTTTAATCCCCCGTTGTAAAGTATCCACACCATATATGATTTGGTGGGTTGCAGCCAAGATAGCAAAGGCACGAACTGAAACTTGGAGTGAACTCCTCCGAATGGCCTCCGCCAATGCTAGAAGGTAGAACATTGAGAGACATCCACAAGCGCTCTCGCTGTCTTCGGAGGGGAGCCCGCTTAAGTCTCTTCGGAGGCTTGGGTGATCGATTCATAACCGTTACTCTTTTGGCATTGTACTAAAAGGTTCAGGTACAGGAAATAGGTCTGTTGCCTCAGAAATTGGGTGCAGGATCAGATTCTCACAGTCTGATCCGATGGCCAGACTTCAAAAATAGGAAGGGGAGGAGTGTAGTGGTAGCTGCCCGTCAATCTCAATAGTGGTGGCTGACCTGAACCGGAATTGATGCGCGAGTGACATCGTAGTGTTCCTGCTTCTTCTAATCTGGTCTTCCTACAGAGCGGACGCATCATAAGATTTGAAGAATTATCCGATTGCATCCATTGCGTGTAACTTGGTAAGTTCCCATTTACCATTATAGTTTTACTTTATAACTTAATACAACTATATATCTATATAACTTGCACAACCCATTATATCATAACGGCTTGACCGATTTATGTAAACGTTATCGTGTTTGATTTATACGTGTAAGATAAAATAGACATTGATAAATATATAAGGTCATGTTAGATATAATTTTAGTGGAAAACAATGGTAGATATATTTAATAGTAATATGACATTTACATCTGATAAATCAAATTTACGCATGAGACAGACAATTTTGAAGTTCCGTTTTGTAACTACAAATAATGTTTTGTTTGTTTGTTTGTTGTGGGTTTTACGTCACATCGACACGTCACATCGACACAGTATAGATCATTTCGCGACGTTCCAGCTTTTCTGGTGGAGGAAGACCTCAGGTGCCCTTCCGTGCATTATTTCAGGCACAAACGGGTACCTGAGTAGAACCACCGACGTTCCGTAAGCTAGCTGGAAAGCTTCCTCACATGAAAGAATCCAAAGTCCCTGTCGGGATTTCGAACCCACAGCGGTGAGGGGCAAGTGGTTTGAAGTGAACGACCTTAACCCAGTCGGCACAAATAATGTAATGATTAAAAATTTAAAATCAGCTTACAACATTGTGAAATAGTTTAATATTGTGAATATTTACAATAGACGACAAATCAGTAAAAAATACATATATAGTTAAGTGACATAAGATAAGATTATTTGCAAAAGAAAGGATATTCACTTTTGAGCAAAAGCAAGATGCAGTGTAACTTCCGAATTCCGAATCTAAAATCCGGTCACTTCTGAAATCCGAACATTTTTCTTGAAATACTTCTGATTGTAAAATCTTCAAAATGTCAGTATTTTCGAATAATCAGTAACCATTTATCTTTACACTCACAACCTGTGGAGCTTATAAAACACTTGATTAAAGTATGAAAGTTAAAAAAAACTTGAGAAGAATAATTTGACGAAAAAAAAGATTACAAGTTAATAGTAGATATTCCATGTTATATATTTAAGGATAAATTGTGATATGCTGTTGTATCAAGAAAGTCAGTTATAGGTTATAATGAAATTTATATAAAAAAATAAACTTTTTAAAAGTTCCATAGTTTTGCCGCTCTTTAAATCTAATCAGCCTCATTTTTTTCATTATGTCTACTGAAACAATTTTACTTGTTTACATAACTCAGAACTTCTGAATTCCGGAAACTTCCAAATTCTGAGCTTTTTCGCTAGTCCCAGAGGTGTTTGGTTTTCAGAAGTTTTCATATATGCTAACATATTTTATGAACAATGACGAGTATAATAATTTGATGAATTTAGAAAAGTAAGAAACATACATTTTAGAGAAATAGAAGAAACAGTGTCTATTTGATCTAGCAAACTCCTCGAGAAATATGATAAAATAAGTTTTACCTTTTTTAACAATGATGTCCTTTTATGATTATTGATTTACTGAAAAGTACTACGTACACTGGTCCAATGATTAAGTCTGTCTTTTGAACAATGAATCCTTTGACGAGGATAGGTTAATCAGACAATCCGATGGTTATACATGAAACATTTTCCTATCTCAGCGGTGACCCAAAATAAATGATTTAAACCAGAAACCCATTTTGGCTATAAATAGAAACAAACTTTGGATTTCACAGCGAAAAATACCACGCTAATTATCGCTCTCGCTATTTAGCGTGTTTTTGCTCGGCGCCCCCGCCATTTTAACATGTTAATTATCGATTTTTCGTTTTGCGGGGTTGCGGGACGAAACAAGCTAATAAGCGAGGGCGCACGGCGAAGTTTTATTCATTTAACTTCGCCCCGCGACCGCTAATAATCGGGTTTTCGTCCCACGACCCCGCCGTTTTATTTATTTAACTTCGCCCCGCGCCCTCGCTAATAAGCGTGTTTTTGCTGCGCGCCCCCGCAATTTAAACATGTTAATTATCGATTTTTCGCTTTGCGGGGTCGCGGGACGAAAACAAGCTAATAAGCGAGGACGCACGGCGAAGTTTTATTCATTTAACTTCGCCCCGCGACCCGCTAATAATCGGGTTTCCGTCCCGCTACCCCGCCGTTTTATTTCTTAAATCTAG